CGAGGAGTAGATGTCACACTGATGCCGATAGGCGAATGGCCCGACGATGGCACGAGATTCCGTATAACGACGACAACGACGACAACGACGATGACGGCGACGACGACGCGCGAGACCGAGGAACATCCGTGACGGGAGACGACGCCACCAGCGTGAAGGTGCGAAGAGAGGGGGATGGGGGGAGGGGGAGGGGGGAGGGAGAAAGAGAAAGAGAGAAAGAGAACCAGAAAGAAGGGGAGGACGAAGCGATCGGCCAATACCTGCGGAAGTAACTGTCCTAACCTAACTTCCACGAGTTAAAGAGGATCGGTAGCGCGTATCAATCAGGGAAAAAGTGGGGGGGGGGGGGGCTCCAGTTTCTCCAGAAGATGAGAACGCGGGAAGTATGCGTGCTCTCGTGACGAGAATGTCGTCGTTATCGTAGTAGTAATAGTCGTCGTTGTTATTGTCGTCTTCGTCGTCGTCGTCGTCCGCGGAGGTAACGACGAGCCACGTCGGTGCCCGGACCACCACCGGCGTATCACTCACGGGTCGCACGCTGCTTTTTTTGACGGAGTGCACACACTTTTTCGGCTCTCCGTCTATCTCTCTGTTCCTCTCTTTCTCTCTCTTTCTTTCTGTCTCTCCGCAATTGAAGAATTAAATTTGATGCCTCGGAAGTGGCGTCCCCGACACAATGGCAGCTAAGCGTAGCGGTACAAGACCCGTAGAGAGTAGGTAGGTCGAGGGGGAGACGGCCGGGGGAAGGCAAGCGCGGGAGGGGCGGGGACGAGGGGGAGAGGAATATGCGAGGCGCGCGCGGGGAGAGGAACGGTCGCACATTAATTATTTCTCCTCTCACCCCTACTACGACCGCAGCACGCTAGCCGCTCACCCACACGCGGCCGCATCGGGAACGGGCTAGAAACCAATTTCTCTCTTTCTCTTTCTCACCATCTTCATACCTCCCTCGTGCACTCTCTATTGGTATTGGTCCATCTTTCGCTTTCCCCCGCGCGCGCGTTTTCCCCACTCTTTCTCTCTCGTACACAGATACTCTCTTTCTCTCGCGCCCCTTGCGGCTTTTCCCGAATTTCGTCTCCGTACATGTCTCCCACCCCCATCGCCCCCCTCCCGGTCGCTCGCGCGCCCTTATGCCCTACGGGAAATCGATTTTTCGACGGCAGGGTCCCCACTGCCGGCTGCAGCGGCGGCGACCACCACCGACATACGAAGGGCTCATGACGTTTTTTCGGCGGGTCGCCTTTCTCTTTTTCCCTCTCTCTCCCTCTCTCGCGCGCCTTCGTGTCTCGCGCCGATGACCGTTTGATCGTCATTTTGCGTGAAGACCAAACGCGTGCCCTAACTCCGAGATGTGTCGCACCACGCGCCGCACGCGGACGCGGACGGTGTGATGACGTTCGGTGGACGCGCGACCGAGAGTCGCGTGAAGTTCGCCGCGATCTCGCGTTTCGAGAGTCGCGAGCCGCCGCACGTGGATTCCTCCGCCGCGATCAAAAGCGTCACGCTTGCCTACTCGGTTTCACGCCTTAGATCTCCCGTTCTTTACCTCGTCTCGCCTCGACCGCCGACGTGCGGCGTCACGTGACGCCGCCGCCGTTACACGTAGAGATCCCGAAGGGGTCTCTAAACTTTCCGCGCGCACAAGTATGCAACTCCTCGCGTACGTATAGCGCGAAGTTATGTCATTTCGCGCGCGCGAGAACGCGAGCTCGAGCGAGCCAGGAAATCGCTATCGCCGCATCCCGATGACGCGAAGTTCGCCACGAAGCGATCGACACTGATGCAAGATTCACATTGCTGCGTCTGACATTCGACGTACGACGATCCGATATCCAATAGGAAATTTCACTTTTTTTTTTTGGGTTCCTAGATAGCAATACTTTTGTCTCCAGAAAATGTATTCTTCTATATCGAAGATATGTCGGATGTCGGACGTAGCGTGAATCCTACGTGACGTTCGATTGTAAATTTAGCGCCAGTATTATACCGCTATCGAGGAGGGAAAAAAAAAAGGAAAGACCAAGATTCAGAAAAACGGCTCACCGTTGAAACAAGCACCGTTAAAACAAGCGAAGTCTGTGTTTATTCGCTACGTGGCAAGGAAAAGGCAATTGCTTAACGTCTAACTTCTTATCACAATAATCCAAAGAAAAAAAAGATTCCACGAGAGATCAATCTTATCTAAATAGGTTAAGTTTCTCTTCTTTGCATCGCGCTAGATGTCCGCGAGGAACCACCTTCACGACAAACGGATTGGGAAGCGTCCGGAAGCGTTCCGTCGGCAGGCAAAACTGCGGCTTATTGAGCCGGAAAACGACGATTATTTCGCATATTTCTCTATCACATGCAATTCGCACGAATACACAGGTTTCTTCCCCGACTTTCGCCGCGTCGACACGCGAGATCGCTCGCGTCCTCGTTTATGAATACACAAAGTTGTTGCTCGCATCGCGCGCAACGAAAAATTCTTCCCTCCCTGCGAAAAAGAAGAAAATCTGACCTGAACGAGCGATCTTTTGATCTCGACGAGTCCGCCACGCCGATCATCACTACATACCGAAAAATTCACATACCATCCTCCCAACTTTCCCACTCCACCTTTCTTGGTTCAACACACAATTTAGGTAGAATTGGATATATCGAAATGTACGCACGCGCGCCAGAGGTAAACAGGTTCTCAAAAGATCAAAATTTCAGTATTTGAATTGAGAAAGAAACAGGGAAGGACTATGTGCTTAAGATGCTCGAAAACGATTAAATCATAATCCTTCGGAAAATATGTAGCAAGAACCATATTTATCTAGAGCAGTAGTGAGTTATAGAAAGCGTTACGAGATTCATGAAATTTATTCATACGAATATCGATTAATAATTTAAATTAATATAATTATAATAAAATTAAAATAATATAAATTAAAATTGTCTTAATTTGAATAATTTAATAAGTGTTTATATAATTTTTGTTTTGCACAGGAAAAATACGTTAATCTAATTGTATATCAGATCTTTTTTTATCGTCATCACCATTGGATATCGCTGCACTAAAATTTTTGCTTGCTTTCATTATACTTCAAAGATATATCTATTTTATTTTATAAATGTATACTGGTTCATCTATTTTTAGAAAAAATAGATGTATTATTAATAGCAAATTGAAAGATGAGTCAACATCTTCTAATCATCAAAAGCGTAAACACGTATTCTTAACAGCGCCAATTTATCAATGTAAGCGAGGAATATATACATACATTACTTCTTGCGCTATTTTCATTATTTTTAATTATTCAAGGATTACAGGAAACTACTTGAAAAAGTAATTAACTACAAAATAAAATGTCCAATTTCATGTCCAATATTCACGTCGTTTATTAAATCGGAAATGGCCCATCAATCACGACGACATAATCGATAATTTTGAAAAATACAAAGGAAAAATATAATGTTTAAAATTGTATATACATATGGATTTTTACTATAATTTTTATAAAATATCCTTCATTCGAAAAATTAATTACTTTGATTATGCATTCGCAGATTATGTAGTTACTGTTTTGTAGTTGCGTTGTCAAATATGATGAACGGAGAAAGAGAGAAACAGAGAGAGTTCAATACTTACATTAATTAATCACATAACTTAGTTGTTATGTTTTAGAAAGTGATAATTATAGTTTGCGCATTTAATTTTTGTATCAAAATTAATTCGTGAATAAAATAAATTTATAAAAACTTAGAATTTAATTTTGATAAAAATTGTAAATAAAACTTTAAGCATTAATTATTCAACTTTGAGATCAACTTTGCGATAATAAGCGTGTTTATTGAAAATATATATGCGAAAGAATTGCAAACTCTGAATGCAAAATGCACGTGAATAACATCCCTTTGACAAACAATTACGATGTAAGATGAAATTTTAATTACGCACGAAATAACATAAATACGTGAATACATGATATCTAAAATTGATAATCGTGATTGAACATCGATATTTCATTTTCGTCTGTTTACAAACGGAACAAATAAAATTAAAGAATCGTGCCTACGCTCAACGAATGTTTTAAAATTCTACACAAGCGTGATAAATTAAACGATCCACGGGCAGGAAAATGTTCGGTTCAATTTTGTTATAAAATATGCAATCCATTGGCAATCCATTAGTGGCGCATATCTACATATCGAAAGTATTCATTTGGCGTTATCGCAATTGTCATTAATGATAATAAATCCAAAAATAAATATTTCATCGCATATATATTCATCAAATGCGTTTGTTTTCCATCCTCAAAAACGGATGGGCTCCTGCCTCTCACAAAAATGCCCCTTGAAATCACGAAGGATCAAACACGACCTTTGCGGCGTACCACCACAGAAATCCCATATCCGGCCCATTGGGAAAACTTCGAGTCGTGTCTTTTCCGTTTGGCGTAGTACCTTCCTATGCCCTTTGCGCTGCACTTCTCCCCCCCCCCGTCCTTCGCGTCGCGATACGCACCCGTATGCATTGTCCTTCGCAGTACATACCTACGATGTCTCGATCAAGGCTGATCCGAATTCGCGTGGCGGTTTAGCGGACATGCGAGACGAACACCGCGATTTTGCCTCTTCTCTCTCTTTCCTCCTTCCGCCCCGCGCACACGTCGCCCCTTTGCGACACAGTACCGCCGAGCGCGTACGAACGAGATGCGAGACGCGCGGCCGTTGCCGGTGACGACGACCGTTCTTTTTTTTTCCTCTTCTTCTTTCTTCCCTCGTTTCCGCACCTCACTTCGCACGTCACCGCACGATCTGGCTGCCGCGCACTCCGTATCACTTGGCGAGACGCGCAACGCGCTCGCTCACCGCACTGGCTGCCGTCGCTCCTTCACGACGACATGGCGCGCACGCATCGTGCATAATCACGTATATTCGGAGTCAATGTGCACGCGTGCACTCGGTCGACCCGGTCTGCCTGCTGTCCGTCCTCCCGCCCGCCCACCCACCGTTCGTCTGGCACGTCCGTCCGTCTGTCTGTCTGTCTATCCCGTTGCCGAGCGTCGTCTCGCCACCGTTCGCGTTCTCCTCTTTCTCTTGTCTACCGGCGCTGTGCACACGATTTATCGAGTCGCGATCGCGCGCACACGCGACACACTCCAGCACATGTCCCGGCGATCCTTCCCTCTCATCGGCAGGCAGGCAGGTAGCGGACAGGCACGCATGCACGCATGCACGCAGCCACGCACGCACACCGTTTTCCACGAGAAAGAATGCTGCCCGAGTTCCGACTTCCACGCGCGAGTAAACGACACAGCGACCGAGTTCCCTCGAATGGAGGGAGAAGATCCCAAGCACGCGCACTGCCACGCTCGTCTCGCGCTGTTCCCAGATCATGGAATTTCTCCGCGCATGCGCGGTCGCACGCGCGCTCGACCACGTGACTGCCTGCGCAGGCCGGTATGACGCTGAGGATTTCCCCGTTTGAACAATTATCTTTTATCACTATTTTTCCCATCGCCTTTTCTATAAATCTTGATATGAATGCGTTTAGTTTAATCAATTTTCGGTAGATTTATTATTATTATTCTATCAATAAAAAATTTCATACCGTCTTTTTTATGTTTCCTATTCTTTTCTCATCTCGACGTAAGTCCGGCAGTGTCTTTTCGATAAAATATGCACGCTACTGAAGCGATCCGATACTGCATTACTGCGCATGTTCGAAAAAATCTGGGAACATTAGCTTATTCTTTAATCGTATAAATCTTTTATCATGATAAGAAGTATTCGTCACTTTCATCATGGGAGAGGAAATAGAAAATGTCGAGAAGGATGCTAGATTCATCACTGGATGTTCAAGAAAATAAAATGACACCTATCGAATATCTTTGAAAAAAAATTTTGTACGCATCTTAATTAGCACACGAGTGCATTTTAAGTTGCTTCTTGAACTGCCAAAGCAGTCAGATACTCAACGGTATAAAATGTTTCCGAATGCGAACGAACGCGCTGGGGTCGAGTGCATTGCAAGCAGGTTTGAACCTGATCGAGTTTTTATGGCACTTTGAAAAACGACCGCGATCCTCTCGAGCTTCATCGCGCATGAATAAGAGACAACTTTGCGTACTTTGCTTACTATTAGAAATGGAAATTTTATTCGAATAAAATTAAATTAAAAAAAATTATCCTTTTATCTTTCTCAATAAAATCGTAGAATTCATTTATTACTAAAATAAATAGTGTGTTATCGCATAACAGTTTTCTAGAATATTTTCATCGCGCTGTAATTATCATGTGGCTCGCGCGACTAACTTCAATTGGTACACCCTGATTAAACTAACATGCTTCTAATTATCAACATAAAAACAATATTGAGTTAAAATGAAATTCTACATGGGGCGCTCGAAGTTTGCGAAGTGAAATCTAAATATTGAAGATAACTCGTATTCGCGAACGCGTGTCGAAATTGATCTTATCTTTCTAGAAAACAGCCGAAGATAGGCGCGGAAGAGACGAAAGAGAGGAGAACCGCGGAGACGCGATCGACGGGGGGAGGTGATGAGTAGGAGGGGAAGAAGGAAGGATGGAGGCCCACCCGAGCATCGCAACCTTGAGCGTGCGGTCGGGTAAAAAAATCGCAACGCCTCTGCGCAAAAATTAACGAGAGTGATTCAATATGGCGGCCTCGCCCGCCGTTGATGTCCTCTCCCCCCTCTACTGCGCGGCTCGATTCCGCCGGGTATCGTTTCGGGCACGGTGTCATATCGTTCAGATGAGTGACTGGAGGGTGGAAAGACGAAGAGAGAA